CCCCCCCCCCCCCCCCCCCCCCTTCTCCTCCTCTCCATATTTGCCGGGCTCCCTCGAGGTAGGTGCTGAAGGCGAAAGAGGTACCTCGCGGTGTCGAAGCCAAGGAAGCCACCTCGCCAAGGAGCTGGGCGCTACCGGGGTCGACGCAGTGGCGGACTAGAAACGCCAAGGAAGGGGGGCAGAAGAGAACTTCCGCCTCCTCCAAGACGGACCACATGGTGTCACTGCTACACGGGGTGAGTTGATATGCGAGGCAAGGAGTTTGTTTACGAGGGGGGCGAGATATTGATTGCGTGAGTGAGTAAGAAGGGCGAACAGTTGTGGAGTGGTCGAGATATCGATTGTGTGGTAAGCAAAGGCACAATGCCTCGCGTAGGCGAGATATCGACTACGTAAGGTAAGCGAGGCGCACTGTAACGAGTGGGGCGAGATATCGATTGCGCGAGTTAGCCAGGCACAAAAGTTGCCCGTCGGCGAGATACTGTACTTGTCTCAGAACCTAATGGTCGACTTGTTTCGCTTTCCCCGTGTGGTCCCCTCCTGCTCCTACCCTGTGGTGACAGGTTTGGTGGGATCGAGTGGTGGCCGACGGGGCTCAGATCCTAGCCACCCAACGGAGCGCGCGAGCCGTGGCTGCTCTTGCCTTGATGGGGACCGCGCGGTGGTGCTTGGTGGACTGCGAGAGCATGTCAATCGTCGAGGACGCCAGCGAGCGGATGCGGGTGAGCAGTGCGCTGGGTGGGGGACGTTCCGTACCCGCCAACGAGCTACCCATAGCTATCTACACAGCTATTCGGAGAGAAGGAATCACGCCAGAGGCAGCAAAAGGACGGATTTTTCTGTCTTGACACAATAGGCACGGGATTGGCCGCGAGAAAGAAGATATTTTTTTCGAAGAGGAACACAAACTCCCGCCGCCCGCCGCTCGCCCCCCCGTCGCCTGCCCCTCTCGTCTCTCTAACAGTGCCTAGCGGCATTTCTACGGGTGCCCGCGGCGGTGCCATTGGTAGAGGTTGCCGAGAGCTTGCTCTTCAGGAGCAGGCCGAGGCACATCGCTCCGCTTTACCCTCGAGCTCCGGGCGCCGCGGATAACAGCTTGAGCTTGACCGAGGGCGACGATAGCTCAGGCTGTTCCCAGCGTCACACGCGACGATCGTCGAGAGGGGTCAACACCAGGCGGGGTGGAGGGGGGGGGGTGAGGAAAAGGGGCTCGGGAAGAGAGGGACGACCATCGGAAGAAGGGAAGCGGTTGTCGACCATGGAGCAGGTCGGTGATGGGCGGGGGGAATGGGGGGCGCTGCCGATGGATGGAGGGAGGAGCCAGAGAACGTCACACGCGAAAACCAGAGGAAGAGGAGGGCGAACAGAAGGGTCTCAGGAGAATGGAGAGCGCGGGCATGACGGTGGGGGGGGTAGAAGAGGTGAAAGCGATTGTGGCGGAGCGGCTTCTGGAAGACAGTTTTCGCGTAGAGATGTTACCTACGTGCCAAGTAGGCTGACGCTGAGAAGGGCTAGGGGGGAAGCCGGGTCGATGCAAGTTGGCCAGAAATGACGAAAGATGCTCGTGCTGCGCTGCTGTGTTTCGTCGCTTTTTCGTTAACGGAGCAACGGGCAGTGAAGCGTCTTGGTTAGGTGTTTCCTGCTTGCCGTAGCTGACGGGTAAACGGTCACAAGATCGGGCTTTGAATGTACACACGGCTGCTAGCTTTAACGGGTCTCCAGCGTATGTGCGCGTTGTTTCAACGAGTTGGGTGCCAAAACCCAAGATCCTTCCAGTGTTGGGTGGCTGCGCGCTTCCCTTGGTCTACAACCCAAATGACTTGTCCTCTCATGGCCCTGCGTCGAATCTCGCGAAAATTCCGATCGTTTCGATTTCATGTACGACACAGGCCGCCCGAAAACTGACGTTCTGGAATTTTGTTCCGCTACGCCTCACAAACAGCAAGCAAGCAAGCAAGCCTTGGCAACAGCGAATCATTCACAGCACGCACCCATGCAAACCTCAAATGTATCTATTTCGGCCGGCGCCCAGTCAAACGAACGCACTCCCCTACCGACCAGGTCGCCTGTATACCAACCATACCAAAATACGAGCGGCATCGGGTCCGCTACAAGAAGGCGGGACAATGGTGAGCTGCTAGCTGTGGACTCGTCCACAGTTCAAATATGCGTGTAAACACAACCACAAGTACAATTAAGCAAACCCATACCAACCTCACGGAAACTCTACCTCTATATCGGCTCGCACTACAGGCCAACAAGCGGAGAGACTTTTCGCTAAATACTTCCCATCTCCACTCGACAGAGCAGACTCCTCCCCGCCACCGGCTACACTGTCATCATGGCATGTACGCACCCGAAATCACAGCCAACAAATGCAACCGCGCCACGGTGCGTGCACACCAAAGCAACGAAGAGGGATCCTGAACGACACACAGGTACACTTCTCGCAACCTACTCGACATCTTTCGTTAGTCTCTCCAGTTGAACCTCTTCTTCCCCCAACCAAGACGGCGAGGGATGAACAGAAACCACCAACAGCTCTCTTTACTCAAGCGGAGGCTGCGCGAAATACGAATACTTCGATCGGGACGACATGGTCTCTTTTCTATGCTAGGACGGGCGTGCCAGCATATCATACGACAAGACGAAGCCTAAGGCACACCCGCTGGCTGAAACGATTGGGGGCAACACATCTGCTGTCCCCGAAAAAGCGGTTCTAATCTCGCATGCATGTATGACAGGGAAACAGAAAATAACCCGAAAATACTTGCCTTCGACTCTTTTCTCGGGCTACTTGAGAGTGAATGCAAGCAACGACACAGCACGGACACGAAAGTTGCGGTTTCAGGGTATGATTCACGGGAGGGAAACAACCATGACTACAACATCGGCGGCGGCGACTCGGGCGCGTGGAACCAGGGCGAGTTGATGTAAACCTCCCAGAGCACCAGGGTGCAGATGCTGAACCAGGTGGCGGTCTTGAGCCCACGCACGATCGGGCCTTCCTCGAAGCGCTCCGCGGCGTTCTTTTTCCGCCACTCCTCCTCCCGGTCCACGATGGGGGTCAGCTTGGACTCGAATCCGGCAAGGCGGCTGGCGGGAACGGCGTCGCCGTCGTCGTCGCTACCGTCGCCGGGACCGACCACGAGCCCCACCGCGCTTTTCTTCTCGCGCTGTTCGAGGGTGGATTCGGCCCTTCTAGAGGGCTTGAACTCGGAGATGTCGGGGAGTGGGACCTGCGGGGAAAACGACAAGTTTTTCCATATGACGGAGATGTCCAAGCAAAGGGGCGATCCGGGCGGGGATGATTTTCCAACAATGCACACGGCGAATATGGCAAGAGTAAGAGTGGTACAATGGTCCGGCGCAACAGCGCGAATGTTGTTGAAGTTTTCGTGCGCCATGAGTGCTGCTTTGTCCACGTGAGTCGAACTCTTTGCACTGGTGTGCGCCCCCACCGGAATGGATGGAAACGCATGTATCATGAAAAGGGAGCCCCATTCACACTGTTCATGAAACACACTATCGGACCTTGTGTTGCCACGCAAGGCAACTTATGGTCGGACGCCAACAAATCTTCGTCCTGGGCACATTGGGTTCGAGGGGGGTGAACAACAATGTCTGTGTTCATGAACAATATCTCCATGCTTGGCCAACTCTACACGGAAATGTGCTACACACCCTCTTCACGGTTGTTGTTGTTATTGTTGTTGTTGTTGTTGTTGTCTTCACATTAAAAACCGTTCCGATCTCTCTCTACCCAGTACCTTCGTATGTCCGTACTGATCCAACACTCGACGCGGTCGATTCCCGTGGTCACAGGTTAACTTACCCTAAAAAGGTACACTCAAATAAACTGGCCCCGAGGGGTCCGCAAGTCAATAGAAATCAACGACAGATATTCTGGAATCCTCCACTCCCTCTGCGCGCTATGCGAGGTATCAACTGAGACTAGGAGTGACTATCTATCATGGGCCGGAGAGAAAGAGGTACACCCCCTTGGTTCAATTTTGGTACTTCACAACGCAAGCAGAGACAAGGCCATCTGGCACAGAAAAAGAGAGAAAAAAAAAGAGAGAAAAAAAAAGTATGCCGCAGTAAAGGAGAGAGCGGGTGCAGGTGCAGGCTGTCGACTACCACAGCAGTACATGCTTCGAAATACCCTTGTGCGTTGCTCACGTTGGACTTGGTCATCCCGGTGTTGGCGGGCATACCCGACCAATCGTCTGAAAACAGTGCCTCGACGCTCCTGTCTCCCTCCAAGACGTCCCCGAGCTCGCCCACGCCACCCCCAGCACCAGCACCAGCACCAGCACCAGCACCAGCACCGCTGTTTGCGGCGGGCTTGTTCGGCGGTATCGCAGCTGCGGGGGATGCGGGCGGTGCGGGTGGGTTGGTGCCCTTCCTTACTTTCCGTCTTTTGCGCTTCTTGCCTGCTGCTGCCATCATCATCAGCGACGTAGATTCGTGCCGAAGCCGTCGAGAGCTGCGGTGTAAGAGGTGCCGATGGCTGCTGCTGCTGCTCCTGCTGTAGATGGCGGCACTTGAACAAACATCATGTGTCCCCGAGGTTACGCCGCCGGCAGCTAGGTTGTTGATCGGTGCCACAAAGCCGTGCGCGCCCTCAAGGAGGCACGTGGCAACGCTTGCGAGAGCGAGGAGACTTGCGGAGGGCTTCATGAATATCGGGGGTCTGGCTCTCCCTTGTTGCTTGTGTAGCCAGCGGGCGCATCGGGCGGCGCACAGCTTGAGTACTTCTTGAGTATCTGACGGGGCCCGAAAGGCTGGAATGGAGCCGCATGGGAGGGGGGGGGGGCTCGTGTTGGCGGCTATGTTGTAGGAGAGAGGCACATTGCATTGCTACTGCTCTACCTGTGCTGTGGACACACTGTTGGGAGAGAGCACGCTCTGCTGCGGCTTGCTCGACGGGACGGGGCAATGAGCAGGAAGCAAGGTTGCTTCGAACCGAGATGTCTCCTGCTGATGCTGGTACCCTCGCTGCTCCTGCTGCCCGATCGAAATCCCAGTGCGTTTCATCATGCACGCGTCCCGTTAGACCGCTGCCTGAGAGGCTCCATAGCAAGGCCAGCACCACCTCCGACATGGACACCTCTCGCACGGCGGATAGGGCCGCCGTTGAAGGAGTCGGAGGGTGCACAAGATGCCACGGGCAACGACGACAAGGCTGTGCCAGGAGATGACGGCGGTGCGGGGGGAGAGGAAGTTGCACCAGCAGCACCCCCGCCAGCAGCAACACCGCCTTTGGCAGGAGCAGCAACCGCTGGCACCACGGCAGCAGTGGTGGAGGGCGAGGCGACGAACCCTGTAGAAGGAGAGCAGCAGGAGGAAGGTGGTGAGCGAAAGAGATAGTGTGATGTGTGTAAGCCATTTTTAAATTTTCGAAAGGAAATATTTTCTTCACACAGCGGGCCAAGGTGGTGTGGTATCCTATGCAACCTTATGTACTTCTACACAAGGTGCCGCGTGTCACCGCAGGCTGTGAAATGAACTATGAAAAGGTCTGCGTGAGAAATGCTAGATGAGCCTATTTAAACGGATCTATGGACAAGTACACTTGCGATAGCACGCGTACCCACATAAAGCATAGAGCCGGGATCGGGCACAGCCGTCCGCACACGTAGCCATTTGGCGACCCTGTGAACGGCAGAAAAGTGCAAGGTCTATCCTGAACACCCTGGACAGGACCCACCCTGCCAGGGTGGCCCGAATGGCACCCTGCAAGCAATCTGCGGCCGCGATTGCAGTGGTGTCTGTACTGGTACATTGCGTTTTTTTCTTTTGCCATCGCGATCGCGGGACTTTTTTTTTATTCATGTTCATCGTCTCGTGATTGAACCGTGCGAAATACAGAACGTGCCACCACCAAAGAACATGAGCCGGAAAAAAAAAAAAAATCTAAGAACTTGTTAATAAAAACAGGTGCTCAAGCAAGGTGTCTACACTAAAACCTATATGGTCGCCATGGGGGTACCCCGTAGACAAAACAAGAAACAAGCCTCGGCCAAAAAAACAGGTTTAGTGGTGGCGCGTTCTGTACCCGCTCTGGGCCACGTCTTGCTTTTGCTGGAATAACAGTACACGGCATTGTAACCATGATAAAACAACAAAAAGGTCAGGACACACGATGCACATCACAGACAAACAACGCCTCTCCTGTCTTGCTTCTCAAAAACGGCACTCAAGCAAAATATGATCCTCTCCATCCCGCTTAAGCTGGCAATCTTTGCAATATATGTGCTCCACGAATGGCAAAAAAATACCATGTACCGCATGATGTTCTTTGCCGTCCACACGCAATACTTGGTTGCACCCTCCCCCCTGCCGGACGAAATATCAACTACATCCGTTCCAACTTACGCACGTGCCTACCGGTTGGTTATATTGACATAAAGACACATTGTAGTAACCACCGCATCGCGATATTGGGCTGGAAACTGACGAATACGCTGGCCATAGGCAACCTACGGCTGGGACACAGCCAACCGCCACACAAAGCGCCACGCCCGAGAGTATTCCCAACAAATTCGCGACCCTGCACGGAAACTCCACTTCATGAAGAAGGAATGAGTGCTCACAACACTCAGCCATCACTTCATGTCGTCGACGAATAGGCCCGAGGTCGGCAACGTCGAAGGGCACGTCTTCGAGCAGGGTCTCTTCACGATGAGGTTGCCGTTCCCGTCCGCAAATGGGGAGAAGAAGCGCATGATGTCGAGGTTTCCATACTCCGTGAGGATGGCGGAAGCATGGCGACGAGGGCGCCATGACCTGGCGTGCGGCATGTTGTACAAGAATTGTGGCCGAGCGTAACGAAGGGAAGGGAAAACCACGGGTAGGCAGATGGGGTGATGAGCTAAAGAAGCATGCGTGTTCCGTTAAATGCGTATCTTCCGACGTACGTCCAGGCTGTGACAGGTCATTTCTATGCTGCGGCGGAGGCAAAGCAGGCTGTAGATTGCCGAAAGCTATTTTGCGTTCGCCCCGGGGGCTGGGCAATCTGTGATGCGGACAACAAGAGGTTGCTCATTTTTGGATCAAGAACACCGGGAGGGGATTTCAATGTGTTCACCACTTTTCCGGCCGAATGGGCGGGGTATCTGAGAGAGGGTAGTGTTGAAACGACAATATTGTTATTGTTGTAGATGCTCAGACGTTCTTTAACTACTGCTCGCTGGTTCTACCAACACCACAGTTGGTTCTTCTTCCCTCTTCTCTTCAAAGCTCCGGTCCCAGGTCACACAGTGTAGAAACATCAGTAGCCTCTACTTCCGACGCAAGTATCAATCGGGATAAGCACCCCCTTCCCTATGCTAAATAGTACACCAGTGCGTCTTGTAGCGTTGGGGGAAAAGCGATGGGTCGGAATTCGGAAGAAAATAAATGCAGCGGGAATACTCCTGGCCTAGGCGTGGGAAGGAATCAAAGTTGTCCATGGAACCTTTTAGGCCTCGGTTGGTAGTGTTGAGGGGAAATCTGCCACGTAAAATGAAGTACAACGTGCAAACACCCATTCTGCCACCTGCACGAGGAAGCACTCGTGAAGCCGGTTCTGTCCCAAAAGTCGTCCCTTCGACAGCAGGCACTGGTCGAAGCCCGGCGTTCCTTGGTGAATCGCCACACCATGTCCCTAGGGTGCTAGAATTAGCAACAAGCAACGCAGGGCGCGCCCCCGAACAAGAACAATAGAAACGTGCGGCTGTGTAAGACCACATCTGCACTCGCCACCAAGGACACAATAACCTCATCACCAAAACGGTTCATGTCACAAACACACAGTTGAGCAGACTCCCAACAGGCTAGTTTCTTCCATCTAAACTGCACAAGGCAACAGCGGGTACTGCAGTAGCAACGATACATCCACTGTCACAAACACACAGTTGAGCAGACTCCCAGCAGGATAGTTTCTTCCATCTAAACTGCACAAGGCAACAGCGGGTACTGCAGTAGCAACGATACATCCACTCGTTGCTCACATGTCCTTCAATACGGTCTGGATGCCCGTGTACATTCTCACGCCATTACTGTTCACCGACTTGAGGCTCGCCAGCTTAGGAAGCAGCTCGACCTCAATGGTGTGGATCGCTGCCATGAGATTCGGCCACCACAACAACAGGGGGTAAAAACGGGCGCTGCGTGGGGTCTTCGCACACCGAACACAAAAAAGTAACACGACAAGAAACATGGGCAATGTACCTCAACGACGATTAACCATGAGAGGCATGGAAAGGGCTGGGAAAAACTTGGAGGGTTGTGATAGTGTCCAATAAACCGTGGGCAGCCCGCGCTGAAGATGCTAACTTTGCTCAACAGCCGGTTGACCGTGGATCGAAAACAATGTCCAATATCCGCGGGATTCCAAGAAACGAAGCACGGGTGGTAATACCAAAATAGAACGAAGTAATTGCAACGCAGCAAAGAGGCGGCGGAGCTCGTGGGAATATTTAATTCTGCTTGGGGCAGTACCACACACGCTTTCTGAGTCGCACAGCATCAGCCCGTTCGTCGTGGGAGACTTGAGAGGCGTCTCCAGTGGGCAACAATCCGTGCGACCGAAATATTCTGATCTATTTGTAAGACGAGGTACATAGTTGGAGAAGAGAGGGGCGTTAAAAGCAATGCCGAATCATCAGCAGCCATGGTACATGACTACAGACAGCAACAACACTGGTCATATCTGCCGTGCTGCCACCCATGTAGGGCGAAGTAGAAACGACGGGTATTGTAACGTTGCACGTGGTACGAAATGCATTTGAATGCGTCACAGGTAGGTACAGAGACTGAGGCCCCATCTACAATAACTGTTCAAAATCGCAGGCTTTCATGCGCGTTTCGTCCTCTTTTTTATTTGATGATTTTCGCGGAAATCACGCGTAAGTCTAAAGTACACTTAATGCAACGGGTGCGACTTACAGCACCCACAGCTTGGAGACCTTACATGCGTGTAGTCAAATTTCCCATTGCATGCTTAACTCGTAGCATAGCATGACGGGCATGACGTGTGATGTATTGGGTACACATCTTCGGAGATCGCAGTGATGAGCTTCGGAGGAACGGGAAGTTTCTTTGTATTTATTTCCTTGAGAGTGTGATGAAATGGTGGAGATTCGTGGAGATTGTCTTGGCGTTTTGAGCGTGATGCGTGACTTGATGCCGTGACCGATTGACGAGCTCAAGCACGCCCCCGATGAATACAACAAGTTTTTACCTATCTGCGGCCCGCCACCGCCGAGCTGCTCTACACTCCAAGCACACACAAAACTGAGCCACCCGAATTATCGATCACGCTATTTAGCGTGTGACACGTCGTCTACGAGATTCGCGGTCGAGCTTAGTTTAGGAGTATCACTTTGCGGCGGTCGGGAGCAGGGTCAAGGTGGCTAAATCCAGGCGCGAGAACGATGATGACCTCCGAGCAGAGCAAGAAGCAGCTGACAAAGCTCGGGTCGGAGACATGGTGAACCAGAGGCTAGCAGCAAGGCTGGCCGAGACGGAGCTACGGCGACAAGACGAGCAGCTGAGGACAGATGACATCCGGAGTGGGACTGAGCAAACAAGGGGCACACCACCAGCAACACGCGGGGAACCCATCGGCCAACCCCTCCGCCGACGATATCGCCCATGCAATCGCCAAGACTGACCGTCTCCAGACCTCATCCGGGGACTTGGGTAGAGTACCACAAGCAGGGACTTTGCGAATGACAGAAACCAGACGATTAGAGCCTTGCGACGGGGCTTTCAAACCAGGGGAGGACTAGTAGGCTAGCCTTGGACTCTACCGAAGTCCCCGGATGAGGTCTGGAGACGGCCAGTCATGGCGTTGGCGATCGCATGGGCGATATCGTCGGTGGAGGGGTTGGCCGATGGGTTCCCCGCGTGTTGCTGGTGGTGTGCCCCTTCCTTGTTGCTCAGTCCCGCTCCGGATGTCATCTGTCCTCAGCTGCTCGTCTTGTCGCCGTAGCCCACCCGAATTATCGATCGGCATACATGTCACGACACAGCTAGTTTGTGTAGTTTCCTACTGTACGTCGCACAAGATACCACACGATCCTCAACGCTCGACTTCAGCAGTCTGCAGTACAATTAGGGAGTTGGGACGGAAATGGCGGGGTTGGGACCCGTCTTCTCGAGAGCTTTCCGAAAACGGACCGTTTGGTTTCGGCACTATCTTCGTTGTGGAGTACGGGCGTGGAGTACAGCAGTCGAGCTTTCGATCCGGGGTGTGTGGTATCTTATGCGACCACACGGTAACTATTGTACATTTCTCTTCTTCGAGCACTGCTCTGCCAAGGGATTTGTCAAGGAAACGTTTGCCAGCAAGGTGATTTTTGAGGCGGGCGTGTGCGCAAGCGTGCCAGCATGCGAGCGCGGCGCGCGCGGCGTGCAACAAGCAGACTGCTGCGGTAGAGTTTTTCATTTTTGAGATCGTTGGACAATTAAAAGTGGCTGGCGGCTCAAGATGAAAAAGTGTGTGAGTACACGCGAATGTCCATCCGTAGAATGTCCATCCGTAGAATGTCCATCCGTACGAGGCAGCCTTCACCTGGGATTGAGATGCCGCGGGAATGCTGCGCCCGACCACTCCCGATTGTGTGGCTTGGCCTGCTGTTATTGTTGAGGCCACCACTGGACCATCAGGCGGCCGGCTGGTTCGCAGCAACATGGACCCCGACAGCAGTACTGCTGTATACATGCTTTTCCCGCCAACAAAGCCGGACTGCACCGTATGGCCGACTCCCGTCGGCGTAGTAGCGGGAAGACGAGTTGGCATCCAGTGTTATGTGTCGATATCACACGGCACTGACGGTGCGTAGTGCGTGGTGCGTGGTGCGCTGGCGCGTCCGCCAAGCACGGACCCACGCACCAGCATGACTAGCAGCCCCAGGGGCGCGGCGGCTAGGATATGACGGGTACGAGGGGGCTCCGCGAGCACGGAATGCAGTCCCGCCGCCGCACAAAAATTTAAATTTGCATCACCATCGTTTGCATGTAGATAGCCGCACAAGCGAGCTGTCATTCTTGCCATGAACAATGCTGCCAGCAAGCGAGTGGGTGGAACTGCCCTTACTATGATGAATATTGCGAAGAGTGGAAGGGGCAAGGGCGTCACCAAGGCTAACATATCACTGTCACGATGTGCGTCTATGGGTGTAGTCTGTCGACAGCGGTTATCCACGTTTGTATGTCTCCACAGCTCTTCACAGCGAGCCGTATATGGAAGGATCTTCCCTACTTGGCGGTGGCGGCGCAATTTGCTGCCTTTCACGGCCCACAGATCTGCTTATACAACCCAGGCAGCGTCGACACCCTGGCAGGGTTCCAGCCCGTGGACCTTCTGGGGCCCGATTGCCTTCCCAGGGTGTCACAGCGTCCGTACAGGGTCTAATTGCCCGCAAGGTCCACACAGGGTTAGCCGAATGGCTTCGTGCGCGTTTCCGGCGACCCGGTCATCTGGTTAGCAGCGTCGAGGACGAACGAGACCAGTGTTGGTCTTTAGTTTCCCAAGGGATATACTTGTAGAAGCGAATCCGTGTTGTTTTGGTTGCGCTCCAAGTACAAAGAAAATTCTACCTGCTGACTTCTCTTATCTCTGCCGGCACTCGTTAACGCTGGAACCCCGCATGCTCTGCAAACAGCAGTAGGTGCCGCGGCTGCCGTAGATGACGCCAATTTGGGCTTGGAGGCGAGGGTAGCGAACTTCGAGTTCGCCCCGCCGATGACCGTCCGCAAGTTCAAGACCATGCAGGACCGGCGGGTGCCGGTGTCAATAAAATGTGAGAAGTTGTGTAAATAACTGAGAGGCTTCGACCCCTTGTTGTCGCCGTTCCAGTGCGTTGCGCGCTGCTGTTCAGACCTGGCCTTGACGCCCTGCTAGTTGGGAAACCATTAACATAGAATCTTTCACACCGGTATCACACAAGAGGGGGGAGAGGGGGGGGGGGGGGCGTACTCTTATGTTTTGCATGCCTTAGCGGTTAGACCATTGACCACGCGTCCTCGAGAGGACGGAGCAGGGGGGGGGGGGTCCTGATAGTCGTGCATGCCGTAGTCGTTAGACCATTGATCTCGCATTCCTACAAAGCCGGGACGGAGCACGCCGGGTTCTCACCGGACCAGGCTCTCACATCACCAAGCGCGAAGCGCCGTGAGGTATTTGGCGAGTCGCATGAAGGGTGCGCTGCATCCTGCTACGGGTGTTCGGCATCTTGTGCTTACTTCCTTGCGTACGGATGACAGCTGCGTATGACTTCATTTATGTTCTGGTGCTTTCACTTCCAGACACAGTTATAAGCACTGTGTAACTGCCTCGAGGAAGCTTGACCATTTTAACACAACGTGGTGCGATCATCCCCCGTTGCGCGGAGTGAGGTTTCTCGACCCCGCACAACATGATCTACTCGACCACCACTATGGTTCCCGCCAAAAAAAAAACAGAGGTAAAAAACCCCGGTAACCTGGTTGCCGAGTTCACGAGGTGAATTGGCTTGTTTTACAACGTCGTTGCCAAGCGACGAAAACCCAACCCCGATGGCGAACACCGGGGGGGGGGTGTACTCATAGTCGTGCATGCCGTAGTCGTTTGACCATTGACCTCGCATCCCTACAAAGCCGGGACGGAGCACGCCGGGTTCTCACCGGACCAGGCTCTCACATCACCAAGCGCGAAGCGCCGTGAGGTATTTGGCGAGTCGCATGAAGGGTGAGCTGCATCCTGCTAAGGGTGTTCGGCATCTTGTGCTTACTTCCTTGCGTACGGATGACAGCTACGTATGACTTAATTTATTTTCTGGTGCTTTCACTTCCAGAGACAGTTGTAAGCACTGTGTAACTGCCTCGAGGAAGCTTGACCATTTTAACACAACGTGGTGCGATCATCCCCCGTTGCGCGGAGTGAGGTTTCTCGACCCCGCACAACATGATCTACTCGACCACCATTATGGTTACCGCCAAAAAAAAAACCGAGGTAAAAAAAAAAAACGGTAACCTGGTTGTCGAGTTCACGAAGTGAATTGGCTTGTTTTACAACGTCGGTGCCAAGGGACGAAAACCCAATCCCGATGGCAAACACCGAGTGGGGGGCTTGTTTTACAACGTCGTTGCCAAGCGACGAAAACCCAAACCCCGATGGCAAACACCGGGGGGGGCGGCTTGTTTTACAACGTCGTTGCCAAGCGACGAAAACCCAACCCCGATGGCAAACACCGAGGGGGGGGGGGAACACCGGGGGGGGGGTCGTTTTACTAC